CCCAGTCTTCGATTTTTTAAAGAGAATCAGTGTTGAAGAGGGAATTTTTTTTTAAATTTTCTCCTCTGTCTTTTGTTTCTACAATGATTTATACTAAGAAACGGCTGGTATATGTATATAACAGCCTTTCCCTATCAAATGTTTGTTGCTTTAATTTTGTTGCTTGGGATACATAGGTCTTGGGCCAGAGAGCTAGTAAAGGGGTTTAGGCACTTTACCTTGTGCCCTGCAGATTCTGGTTCAATCCCCAGTACCGCACATGCTCCTGATAATACAGCCAGGACTGACTCCTGAGCACAGAGGCAGGAGTGATTCCTGAGCACGACTGGATGAGGCCCCAGAATCAAACAGTTTATAGGTGTGGGTAAAATTTGCTTCACTACTTTTGATTAGGTAATATTCAGAATACCTGAAATAGTTTGTATAATTTGATATATCTGACAAATCTTAAGTTTCAATGTTTTATTTAAATGAAAAGTCTTCTGACAGACTTCAATATGGATGATCCTTGAAAACACCTAAACGAAAAGTGTTTCATCATAAAAGATCAATTACTGTATGATTCTATTTACATAAAAATTTTAGAGTAGGCATACTTAGAGAGCCCGGCAATCATTTAGTATTGGTGGAGAGAAGTGAGCTGTAATTAGGGAGAACATAGATGGCTAACAGTGTTTTAGAGGGAATAAAAATTCTCTAAAATTATATTGAGGTGATACTTGCAAAACCCAGTGAATATACTAAAAAAAAAATCATTGCATAATTTTATGGTTGAATTGTATGGTGCATAAATTTTATCCTGATAAAATTATTTTTAAATGTTCAAAGGTAGTACAGTTTCTCTTTTTCTAAAGTGTCTTTACTTTGTCATATATTTTATGTTCGCTGAAAGAGCAAAGCAGTGTCAAGCTGAGCCTTTCAAATATGCACCCACTTCTATCAAAGCTGTAATCTGGAAGGGCTTGTCTGATTGATATCTATTTATATGAATGCAAATAAATTTGAAAGCAAGTGTTAATGTATCTTATTCACTCATACATGAGTAGTTTTGTTAAACTCGGAGTGTATATCTTCAAGCTTAGGTTGAATGCAATTGATTTTGTGACTTTAAGTCGATAAAAGTGTAATTTAATCGTTCTTTCAAAAATGTACCCACAAGGAAAGGTGCTTATCTTGCACACAGCTAACTCCGGTTCAGTGCTTGGCCCCACATACAGACCCCCCAGGCACCACCTGGAGTGATCACTGAACACAGAGCCAGGAATAAGCCTTGAGCACCACCAGATGTAGTCCAGTACCTGCCACCCATAGGGTACGCATACGTAAGATCACTTTTTTTTAATTGCTTATTTTTATTAAATTTGCTGATTTTTCTTGACATTTAAAGTTCATTTAAAAACAAATTGCAGACATGGAGGTGCTTCTACTTAGAGAGGAGTTTCATGAAAATAAACACCAGCGTGAAATACTGTTTCTTTGATATGTCAGCCGTTCTTAGGTCCAAGTCTATGAAATCCTCACTGCGTCCCTTTTAAACAGTCTTGAGCGATAGCACAGAGGGTAGGGCATTTGCCTTGCATGCGGCCAACCCAGGTTCGATTCCTAGCATCCCATATGGTCCCCCGAACACTGCCAGAAGTAATTCCTGAGTGCATGAAACAGGAGTAACCCCTGTTCATCGCAGGGTGTGACCCAAAAATAAAAAAAAGAAATAAAAAATAAACAGTCTTGAGATATTAGTCCTTAAGTTTCAAGTAGCCATTGATCTAAATAGAAGCTAGTTCCATGGTAGCTATTATGAAAGTTCTCGTGAGCACACGCACACACACACACACACACACACCTCACACACATAGCCTCACACCATACACGCACACACTACACATGTACGTGCACACACCACACACACGTACGCACTTGCCACACACATGTACACACACCACCCATGCATGCACACACAACCCACACACGTACACACGCACACAACCCACACAGGTACACACGCACACAACCACACACACATGCACACACCACACACGCATGGACACACATACCATGCACATATGTGCATACGGGCCACACAATCATGTTGTGCACACACACACCCCACATGTGCACACACCCTTGCATATGCAGATGCCAACTTACATCCTCAAACTCTTTTCCCATCCAGAGACCCACACTCTTGTCCCCTGCGGTTTGCCCTGAGCGTTGCTTTTCCCACCGGGTAGACAAGTTCCCACGCCTTGTTTCTCCTTCTCTGCCACGGGAAGCCGCTGTGATCCCGACTGAGCGGCCAGCAGGCTTCAGCACGCACGGGCCAGTGGCGGGGCAGCCCGAACAGCACCTGATTTCCACCTGCACGCATACTTATTCACGCATCACGTTTCCTCGTTGCAAACATTAAGACAGGCTGATTCCAGGCTTGTTCACTAGCTGAAATGGGCGGCTTTTGACATGCTCCAACCAAAGTAAAGTAAGTAAAGGCCCTCCCGTTGATCGTCGATTTGCTCGAGCGGGCCCAGTAACGTCTCCATTGGAGACTTTGTTGTTACTGTGTCTGGCATATCGAATACTCTCGGTAGCTTGCCGGGCTCTCCGAGAGGGGCGGAGGAATCGAACTCGGGTCGGCCATGTTGGCCGCTTGTAAGGCGAACGCCCTACCCGCTGTGCTATCGCTCCAGCGATATATTTGGGCTGGAACCAAATATATATAAGAAATATATATATTTCTGCTAGAGACAATAGGAATAAAAGATAGTATTGTATCATTGAATTTCTTAGTCAAGAAAATTTTTTTTAAAAGCACATAATTTTTTAAATGAGCATGTGATTTAAAACATGTCATTTAAATTTTAAATATTTTTTGAAAATCAGTTTGTTTTTAAGTAAGCATGTGATTTTTCTTTTTGTATCTGTCTCTTTCATTCTGATGTGCAGGAGAAATTATTATTAATAGTATTATAAAGCAAAAAAAAGAATTTTAAGATAATTAAATCATCTTTCTTTCATGTTGCTTTAAAATAAAATGCTGATGGGCTGGAGCAGTAGTACAGTGGCTGGGGCATTTACCTTGCACAAGGCTGACCCAGGTTCCATCTCCAACACCCCATAAGTTCCCCTGAGCACTGTCAGGTGTGACCCCCAAAACTGAAATAAATCACTGTATCACTGTCATCCTGTTGTTCATCGATTTACTTGAGCGGGCTCCAGTAACGTCTCCATTCATCCCAGCTCTGAGATTTTAGCATCCTCTCCTTACTCATCTTTCCCAACACTGCCGTATTGGAAGCTCTTTCAGGGTCAGGGGAATGAGACCTGCCCGTTATTGTTACTGTTTTTGGCATATTATATGTGCCATGGGTACCTTGCCAGGCTTGGCTCTGCCATGGAAATAAATAAATAAAACTAAAAAGGCTTAAAAGTGCTAATGTGCATAGCCAAGGGGACGAAACGATCGAATGTCCAACCCACACCGAGTCATTTAGCGGGGTCTACATGGCATTAGCTGGCTTCTCCGTGCTCGAAATCCTGGACATGGTTCTGTAAGTTCAGCAGATGCTATAACCTATGGGAAACCAATGGGAAAGTGCAGCACCTTGAAAATAAAAAAAAAAAAAAAAACCATTGGCCAGATGCAAGTTATAAAGAGAGTCTTTTTCTTCCTATTTTTATTTTGTTCTCCCACCTCTCTCCTCTTTCCCCAACTGACCTTCTCTCTTGGTCCCTTTCCCCATTTCCTCTTTCCTCACTCCCCGTTGATGACCAAAAGGCACACAGCAGTAGACCAGGCCCAGGTTAGCTCTCCTGTCACTCACATCAGTGGTTGCATTTCTGCAGCTTCCATTTTATCACTCTGCCCCACTACCCCCTTGTTCTCCCTGGAATGGTAATAGTGCACTCTCTGGATTTTGTGGCCATCCAGCTTGCTCTCTTTAAACATTGCAGCATGGGCCTGGAGCGATAGTACAAGGGGTAGTATAAGTTTGCCTTGCACATGGCCAACCCGGGTTCAATTCCCAGCATCCCATATGGTCCCCTGAGCACCGGAAGGAATGATCCCTGAGTACAAAGCCAGGAGTAACCCCTGTACATTGCCGGGTGTGACCCCAAAAAGCAAAAAAAAAAAAGTTACAGCATGGATTCTTCTTCCAACTCTTCCCTTCACTTCTCTTCACAACTCTGTCACTAAGGCACCAGCAGTGAATTAATTGACGTGTTTCATTGTCTTATATTTGTGGCTTTTGCATAGTGGATACTCAAGAACTGTTGTTCAGGGGCCAGAGAGAATAGTGGGTAAGGCTCTTGCTTTGTATGCTGCCGACCCAGGTTTGAGCCCCAGCACCCTATAAGGTCACTGTAGCCCACCAAGAGTGATCCCCGAGTGCAGACACAGGAGTAAGCCCTGAGCATTGCTGGTGTTGCCCCCAAACAAAAAACAAAAACAAAAATGTGTTCATTAGCTAATTGAATGGGTAAATAGCTAACTAGTGAACAACTGAGTTGGTGAGTTAAAGATTTTCAGCGTGTGTGTCCATATGACGTGGTCTAACTTTAGGAACTCTGCTCAAGTGTATAGGCATTTAGGGCCTTAGCTGCAACTCCTAACCAGCTGAAATCCTATTAATAACCAAGGTGTTCTTTCTCCTGGTACTGTAACTTGGCAGAAACTTCTTTAAGGTGAAAGGGAAATGACCCTACTCTAGGATCACTCTAAAATTGTCATGCTCTCTGGGGATTGCATGAGTTCATCTCTTCAATGTGCAAAAAACATCAAAGTGAAGGAAATAAGTCACTCTTTAGCAGAATCCTCTGCAGGTAACACTCACCTGCCATCTGTCACCCCCTAGGGACAGCCAGTTGACATTTTCATTAAGAGCTTACTAGGTGGTGGGTGTGTTTTTGTGTCACCTTTGGGACCTGCACTTGGGAAGAGAGGGTGTAACCAGAAACCACTCCCTGATTGTGAGATCGGCTCATGTGTTCTGCTTTTCTCCAAGGAAATGGCGAAGATCCTTAACCACCCCCGGGTCTACGCATTCCTGCACATCCCCGTCCAGTCCGCCTCTGACTCGGTGCTCATGGACATGAAGAGGGAATACTGCGTGGCCGACTTCAAGAGCGTGGTGGATTTTCTGAAAGAGAAGTAAGTCTGTTCGTACTGAAGAAAAGAGCCATTCCTCTTTTGCTTTCAAAAAGCAGGTGGCCAAAAAATGCACTCAGTGGAGCCACAATTGAAGGTCCTTAGAAGAAGGCGAGACTTGGGGCAAAGCCTTCCAGTTTCTGAGGTCCCCCTTCATGTGGTTTCTCCTTCCTCCTCCTTCCTGTCTACCTACCATCTGTGCTCCACACACTGTTCATCAGCATGAGTTCCAGTTAAAGATAACATGCACAGGGATCATTTATATACCTGACCTAGGAGAGAAACAGCGTCGGTTCTCTGTAAATATCCCTTGAAGTGGCTTTTTGCAGTTGTGAGTTGATTCTGACGTGGACCCAGGCCAAACCACGTCACTCCCTAATAGATAATTTTCCACCAAGCAGTGTTTTTTCCTGAGGAGTCACTGGAACCTCTCCGCTTTTCCATGCCGAGTTAGGCCTGTCGCTCGCTTGAAGAATTGTGATTTCTAAGGAGGTTTGGGGATTCTGTTTTTTTTTTTTTTGAAAGTTCAAATTGCTGTTGACCAAAATTAAGGCATATTTACACAATCTCAGACATGAATGGTAATTTTGTTTCCACAGAAAACACTTGCAACCCATAATTATGTTCTTCAAAATCCTACTTCTCATCATTACCAAACAGTGTATGCCTTCTGTGCTTATACCAGGCAGGAAATGGGGCGGGGGTTGGGGGGGTGGCCAAGGTCACAGAGAACTTGCTCCAGACAGCCAAGGTCATCCACTGCCTTCTCAAGACTGAGGCCTGTTCTCCCCTCTGGGGATGACATTTATCTTGGCATATTTGTGGCATGTGTCTTTTCATAAATTTTTTCCATCATTTTCTTCTCTGTTGTTTTTCTTAATTAAATTACAGCTTTGATTTCCATCTTACTCATAATTATATACTTTGTACCATTTTGTGCCACTACATGGATATGATTGCTTTATACAAATTGTTAGCAGCTTTTTTTTTTCAATTAGTCACTTGCCCTGAAAACACAAAGATCTTCTAAAACCTTTTTCTTCTTCTTTTTTTGCCATCTCCTCCCTTCCTTCTTTCCTTTCTGTGTCTTTGTCATTTTTTTTCTCTTCCAGGCATCTCCTGATTATCCTAACTACCAGAAATAGATATTTCTTGCGCACGCAAACAAATATTGCTAATTGTTCAAAAAATTCAAATCATGATTATGATTAAGTGTAAACAGCCTTCGGAGTAGAAAACAGAGTAACAGCAAATCGTTATCATCTCTGTTATTTCCTGATCTTTAACAGAACTCAGGTCACAAGGAAAGAATAAGGAATTTCATGTTCAATTTTTGTTGTTGGCTGGTGGTGCTCTTTTACATTTATTCTAGTTTATTGTAGGTAAACGGATCTCATAGTGGGCCATCCTTTGGGACACACTTGCACTGCAGAATGGAATGTTCTCATAATTGCAAATGAATTGCTTTCCTTGTGAAATTTCTTGCCTCTTGCTTGCCAGAGCAGTAGCAAATAACGTCCACGATTCCTCCCTACTACACAAGGTCTGGCCAAGTGCAGACATGAATCCCATTGTCCAGAACGGACGAGAACATTTTCCAGATATTCAGCATGATTAGACATGATTCCACATGATATTCAGATATTCAGCATGATTCACGGTGATTAAGGAATCAACACCTCTTTTACCTCAATTTGGGATAACGCTGAGTCAGTTGTTAGAACTACCATGGCCACTTAAACTGGGCAAGAATTTCACAAGGAGTTCTAGCCTTTCATGTTGCTCCAGAAGTCAGTGTTTCAAATCTGTTGCTTCTTGGTCAGTTTCAGCAGCATCTGTGAGCATCTGTGAGCTGTCTAAACTGGCCAAAAAGATGATCGCATCAAAGCATTTGAAAATAGTCTTTCACCTTCATCCACAGGCTAAGCTCAGTGAACTTTCTCTTTATTCTAAGTTGCCACAAAGCTTCCATGTACATTTTCTAGAACTATTACAGCTAGCCAGAAGTTCCCAGGACCAATTTCTCAACCTAGGTTTCTCCGGTATTTCTGGAAATATCAGAGACAAGGAAGTAAAAACAGGTACCTGGAGAAGACACTCCATCCAGCATTGTTACTTTCACAGTCCCGAGGATGGTGGGCTGCTACTGGAACTTCAGAGTTAGTTAGTGAGTCTCTCCGGAAGGTTGATAACTTTGTGTTGTTTCCATGCAGTTGAGTGTGTGTGTGTGCGTGTGTGTGTGCGCGCGCGCGCACATGCACACGTGCGAAGTCACCCTAGCATATCACCCTAACATACGGATGCACCGTTAACTTGTAACTAAGTATTGGAAAATGTGAAAGGCAGGCAGTATGTATAAAGCAGATGTAGAAGAAAGTTAGAGTTGCCTTTTGTCAGGGAAGTAGGAAGAAAGAAGAAATAATATTGTTACGATTATAATAACCAGATTTATGTGAAGTCTTAGATACTTTTATGGGAAGCATACAGGTGTGTGTGTGTGTGTGTGTCTGTGTGTGTGTGTCTGTGTGTGTGTATATTGCTTTTTGGGTCACAACCAGTGATGAACAGGGGTTACTCCTGGTTCATGCACTCAGGAATTACTCCTGGCTGTGCTCGGAGGACCATGTGGGATGCTGGGAATCGATCCCAGGTCATGCCGTCTACAAGGCAAACGCCCTACCCGCTGTGCTATCACTGCAGCCCCTACAGTTGTATATTTTATCCAGTAGGTTCTATAGCTTGTGAAGTGAGTACCCCTGCCGTGTGCTTTTTATATGATAACTTTTCTCTACCTGCAAAAGTCCTGGGCTAAACAAAAGAGCCCACAAATTAGTCCAGTCATTTATGTCTCTCCCTTTCTTTCTGACTCATTTCATTCAGCGTGATACTCTCCATGTTCATTCATTTATAAGCGAATTTCATAACTTCATTTTTTTCATAACAGCTGCATAGTATTCTACGTGTAGATGTACTAAATTGCTTGCAGGTTATAAAAAAAGAAATTATATGGGATTAATGACCATGAACAGTAGAAACAAGAACCAGGAGGACTGGTCCATGATTGGAAGCCTGCCTCAAGTGCTGGGAGAGAAGGCAGTTGGGATAGACAAGGGATCACTATGCCAAAGATAGTTGGGAATAATCACTCTGAATAAGAACTGTGTGCTGAAAATAGGTAAATGAGAGAGAGAGAGACAGAGACAGAGACAGAGACAGATAAACTGAAAGACAGAGAGAGCCCATTGTGCTGGAGCACTTAGCTGGCAGTGTCCTGAGCACTGAGCCAACAGTAGTCCCTTAGGACTACCAGGTGTGACCCAAAATCAAGAGAAAATGGTGTCCTTTCCTCCAGGCCTTCAGAATGGACGTGTCCATCCAGCCAATGAACAATTAATTGTCCACTCCATTAGACATTTGTAAGTGAAAAATTTTGAAGGGTTCCACCCAGATGTCTTGTTTACTTTTGCCTATAAAAACGAATATAGTTTTGGTCTAGAGAGATGGGTCGGCCGCTTGCCTTGCACACAAGTTTGATTCCCCGGCACACATTAGGGTCCCCCAGATTGCCAGCAGTGATCCCCAATTTCAGAGTCAGGAGTATAAGCCCTGAGCTCCTCCAGATGTGGCCCCCAAAAATCAAAAACCAAAAACAAAACTAGCATAGCTTTATGTCAGGTAGATCAGTGCACATGAGAAGCAGTGAAGTTTCATGGGTTTCATGGATCTGATTCCAGCATCAAATTCTTTTGTCCCATATTTATTAATACCTCATATGACATTGTCGTTCTTTGAAAGAGGCTAATGATGTCAGGCTTTTGGTGGGTGCCAGATACTCATCCACGCACGACCTTGACTTTCAGTGGTTGTGTTGCCTGTTCTCTTTCTTCTGCTCTTTTTCATCAACGGGGCCCTTTCCATTCGCATCTATTCTTTGAAACTTTTTTTGCTTTGCTTTGTTTTTTTGGCCTTTGAGCCTTTAACCAATGAGAGTCTCATTTTTATTTTCCCTCAAGCAGCGCGAGACTTCTCAAATATTCATGTTCCGTATTAGAGTCAAGACATCTTCTAATCTGTTTTGTAACACAATCCAGTCTTTAAAAACAACCTCCAGCACCGGAGACCGACATCTAACTCTGGAAATGCACCTGAAGCTGCAGGCTTCGAAACAAACTCAGCAGGATTGGGGGGGGGGGGGGGGCGTGTTTTCCAAGTGGTGGAGGTGACATCTTTTTAATTAATTTTCTTTACAGTTGAAATTGGCTCTTGTTTTAGCTGGGAGCAATGTAAGCTTCCATATGAGCCAACTTGACGCTGATTCATTATTCTCTTCGGTTGTTTGAAAGTTGGCAGCGATTATCATAACAGCAGCTGGATTGAAGATAACCTAGTAGCGCTGGCACATGTTGAGGCATATGGGAGTTTATTAAATCATGCAACCTTTGCAAAGAAAAGTGTCTAAATTACTTAATACACTAATTTAAAACAGCTGGTCATGAGCAGGCAATCAGATGACTTAAATTATTTTATTCAGATTTATTAATCCAATTGGAAAATTAGCTAAGTAAGTTGATGTTTTATTTAAATGGGTAAGATGATTTCTTAAAACGTATACTGGACTTTGTTAAGGGTGTGGAAGAAAACTATATAGACTGAAAGCCAAAGGGTACAGTTACAGTTTTAGAGAGTTTTATAATTTTTATATAAGTTTTATAATTTTTCATGACTATTTCACGAATGTTATGACTTTCACTACTTGTCCCAATTAACTGTCTGCTCTGTTAACATGTTGCCAAGGTAAAAATGGATAAAAATGTATGGTTCAGCAGACTGAGAGCTTGCCTTGAATGCAAATGACCCAGGTCCAATCCCTGGCACCACCTATGTTTTCTGGACCACTGCCAGAATTAAGCCCTAAGCATCCCTGGGTGGGGCCCCAAAACAAACAACAACAAAAACCATTAAATTTTCATCATTTATTTTTATTTTTTTCATGAAGTTTGGAA